ACAGAGTACAGACCAAAAGTTTGGAAACACCTTCTCATTCAAAGAGTTTTCTTTATTTTCATGACTGAAAATTGTAGATTCACACTGCAGACTTTAAAACTATGATTTACCACATGTGGTATTATATACTGAACAAAAAAGTGTGAAACAACTGAAAATATTATATTCTAGGTTCTTCAAAGTAGTCACCGTTTGTTTTGATTACTGCATCACACACTCGGCATTCTCTTGATGAGCTTCAAGAGGTAGTCACCTGAAATGGCTTTCTTTTCACAGGTGTGCCCTGTCAGGTTGAATAAGTGRGATTTCTTGTTTTATAAATGGAGTTGGGACCATCAGCTGTGTTGTGCAGTAGGAGGATACAGTGCACAGCTGATAGTCCCACTGAATAGACTGTTAGAATGTGTTTCATGGCAAGAAAAAAAGCAGCTAAGTAAAGAAAAACGAGTGGCCATCATTACTTTAAGAAATGGTCAGTCAGTCCGAAGAATTGGGAAAACTTTGAAAGTGTCCCCAAGTGCAGTCGCAAAAACCATCAAGTGCTACAAAGAAAGTGGCTCACATGAGGACCGCCCCAGGAAAGGAAGACCAAGAGTCACCTCTGCTGCGGACGATAAGTTCATCCGAGTCACCAGCCTCAGCAATGGCAGGTTAACAGCAGCTCAGATTAGAGAAAAAAAAATATATATACACACACACATTCAATTAAAAAGAAAATATTTCAAAAATAAAATGTGATGAATGGAATTTGCTAAGTTCATGTACAGCATCAGGGGAAATGTTTTGCCGCAGTATTATAGCAGCGGAAATTTGTGTGATAGTGTGTCATTGTGGGAGCATCACAGCTTCCGTTTGATCTGACTGATAAGTACAACAGCTGCCGCCTCTGTAAAGAGATAAAACGTTGCATCACTGCATCGTGTCCTCTAGTGGTTTTCTGTCAGACRTTCGAGGCTTCTTCATTCTTGCACCTTGAGTTTTTAACATGTTACTTTACAAAGTACGAACACTTACAACTAAATAAAACTGAATAAAACATAATGGCTTCTTTTTCAAGTCTTGTCTAGATTGAATGAAATGTTGCATGAGCATTATGAGATTTAGGGCTGTCTTGTCTTGGACTTCTCAGTAGTTCATGTTCGCTTCTGTGAGATGAATTATAAAAATGCAGTAATAGTTTCTAAATACATTTTATTTTCATCAGCCTAACATAGATCCTATAGAATAGTTATCTACTAGAGTGATAAATGCTGCTACAGCTTAAATGCTTAAATGGCCACAAATCTCCTATCTGCTTTTAAGAGGCTCTACATTTCTTTGCTGATGTGGCTGCGAGGCACACATGAGCTTCAAATTCTTTGTTCGCCCCACCCTGAATAAAGTTGTGACAGAGCTTGATAAATAATCTAGAACAAGATCTCTGCTTGGGTTTGGGTTAAACTATTTAAGTTGTGAAAGAAACCATTTTAATGCAAGYTAAAAGTTGTGGCTCACGTATTGTTTACGCAGGTTCTGAACACAATGCTTTAAGCGTGGATATGCCTCTTTTGTGATGCAGACCTTGCAAAAATTTGGCAGTGATTGTGTCACAAGGAGAAATTGGCAGTCTATCTTATTTCCAGTTTATCCAGTTTTTTTGGTCCAGACACCAGGTAATGAAATAACTCAATCTCTTTTTACAATCAGGAAAAGTCCTATTGTGTTTCAAAATCTTGTATACAAAGGTGTTTTTGCCAATTAATGCAAACAGAAAAACATACAATAATGTACTGTAAAATCTCCAACACTTCATATTTCTGCAACATTGTCTTTTTTTTCTTTTTACTTTGTGCACTGCACAGTCTAATCAATATTGGATGTCAAAGTTAGACTTTTTTTGTTTACAATACCAAAAATGTGGTTTTGAACAAACATTACACAGTAAGGTAATGTTTAGTTTATTTATTCTTTGTAAAGAAAAAATAAGAGTTGGTTTAGAAAAAAAATCTGTTAACCTGCAGTTGTTTGGTAATTCATGTTACGGCTTTCAACTCGAGTTCCTTTATCCTTATTTATTTTCAATGTGAACAGGAAAAACCTCATCTGCAGACAGAAGAAATKATCATTTCAGTTTTCATTAATGTATTTGTATGGTGTCTAGATTTGCATTTGCTTGTTTAGTCCCTCTCTCCTGTTATTGAAAACACTTTCTACTGTGTTTCTAGCTTACAAATTGACTTGGGTGTGGCTGTTCTGCAGGAAACTTGCATTCATATTACCCATGTTATTGGTTTCGCCACATTCTGAACTCAAACACTGCTTAATTTAAGCTGCAATTTTGTTGTTGTTGTTTTCTATAGAACCAATGTAGTGATGAACTACTCGGAGGTGGAGTCTAAAGTCAGAGAAGCGACCAATGATGATCCATGGGGACCATCAGGACAGTTAATGACTGAAATTGCAAGGTAAGGAGAAAAAAATCATGTCCTGCTGAAAATCCTCAATATGGGTTTGTAAACAGATAAACCACAGTTGGTCTTATACATCAGTTTACAAATCTCTATTTCTCGTTGCCCATTTTGTATCTCTGTCTTTAGTTTTTTGACCACAGTCTTTTTATTTGACCCTAATCAAAATTATCTTTTTTCCAGAATTCTGTACTTTTTTTTTTTTTAGCTAGAATCTCCTTAACTATTTTTCACTGCACTCATGTTCATGATGCAGTCTGTTCTTTGCACAGTTCGTAAAACATTTGACTTTATAATGAACATAGAAAATTATTGTGCTGTCACTGATAGATTATGTGACCAAGAGACTGTGAATGTGTATAAAAATTCCAGAATTTAGAGTTGTAAATAAGAGTATTTTATGTTTTCCTTTGCMCCTTATTCCTCCAAGTGTCTTTGACACTTGCCACACCAGCATTAAAAATAGGAATCAATTCTTAATGTTCTGCTTGGTTAAATAAAGGTTTGTTTGTTTTTTAAACTTTAGAGTTGTCTGATGCTGCTAGATTGCTTTTTACTTACTGACACTGGGTGACAACTGGATGCTTTCAAAGGACATTTACTTGTAGAAGTCCATAATTTTTGTATTGTTTTAAAATGAATCAAAAAGCACATTGCTGAATTTTCAGAATTTGGGTAATGGTGTTAGGAAGTTAGTGACATAACTTTTTTGAATGGCGTGCACACTTAACTCTGCCTGTTAGGATCTACTTTTAGTCTATGAACAAATTTATTAAAAAAACAGATTTTTTAAAAAAATATATCAGTTTAGATCTTGTGCAGACAGAGGAGTACAATGTAAACAACAACAAAAAAATCACATGAACCCTTTAAATGGAGTGTTTTTTAAATGCAATATTCAGTATGTATTTGTAGACATTATTTACTGTGCCAGAGTTAGTCTTTGCAAACGAGCTGAAGAAACCTTCAGTACCAAATTCATATAAATTAAGTTCCCTCTTGTGGGCTGTTAATAAAGAAAGGTTTGCACCAAACTTCAGTGGGTGTCTCTGTCCATTTGTCAGTTTATATTTATTGCACGTGAAACATTTTCTCTACTAAAAGACAGTGACTCCCTGTTTTCTGTTCTTTTGTTGAATGTTTKTATAAACAGATCCACCTTCATGTATGAGCAATTCCCAGAGGTGATGAACATGCTGTGGGCTCGCATGCTGAGGGACAACAAAAAGAACTGGAGGAGAGTCTACAAGGTCAGTTACAGGAACAAAATCCATTTGCTTAATGGTGACACAGTACTGCTTTCAATGTGTGGTACAGTTTTGATGAAGGTTATAAAAAGTGAAGTCAGTCTTGTTGGAGGAAGAATCGGTTCAGTGACATTCTGCTTCAACTGCTGTTGGGCTCTTCTTTTCCAGGCCCTGCTGTTGTTGGCCCATCTAATCAGAAATGGATCAGAGAGGGTTGTAACCAGCGCCAGAGAACATCTCTATGACCTGMGATCATTAGAAAGTTACCACTTTGTAGGTATGGTATCATTTTCATATTTATCCTGACTTAATGTTTTTAAACTAAGTTACTGATGTGTTACTCTGCACATTGAGACTGCAATAATGAGTGTTTCTGAACTATAGCTTTAGTGTAAGCTAAATGGATGTGTGTAGCACTGTTTAACACACACTCACACTCTCACACTGCCCTAAGGCTGCTTTCATTCTTTTCAAGTATGTGAATATATTTAAGATTCCAGTAGGGACACTCAGCTGTTCCAAGATGTTTATTCACGATATTTAACATTGCAGTGTGTGATTTCATCACATTATGTTCCTTTTGTCTTCTATCTTTGTCTCCAGATGAGAATGGGAAGGATCAGGGTGTAAATGTGCGTCAGAAGGTGAAGGAGCTCGTGGAGTTTGTTCAGGATGATGAAAGGCTTAGAGAAGAACGAAAAAAGGCTAAAAAGAACAAAGACAAATATGTTGGTGTATCCTCTAACTCTATGAGCTATAAAGGTTACTGTAAGTAATATCAATATATTTACTTCCCTGCACTGTACTTACTTGGATACTTGTGATGTATTTTCAGTTTAGTAGTGAAAATCACAGTTGACTATTTCTCCTTTTTCCTTTTGTTGTAATTCCTTGTCTTTAGCTGGCGACAGGTACGACTCCAGCGACAGTCGAGGAAAGTGGGACGATGATTGGGACAAAAGTAAAGGTCCTTTTCCCTTCAGTGAAAAGTTTGGGGAGATTCGGGACACAATTGGTAGTACCATTGATGATACCATAAACAGGTTCAGGAAGAAGGACAGAGATGACTCACCAGACCGAATCAGGTAGGAGAAATTTGGCGTAGTATTACCTGTAGTTGTAAATATTGTTTGTTTAAAAACAAAAAAGCGAGGTTGAAATAGACATTTTTCGTCACTCTGACCCAAAGAGTTTTGCTGAAGAGGATTTGTTTCAGTATCGTAAAAACAGCAGAAACAGGCAAATGGCATACAGTGACCTTAACGACTGGCTGAGTGGTTAGAATCGTCTTGTGGGTTGCCGGCTCGAATCCCCGTTCCATCTACCTCAGTGATTGATTGTCCAAACACTTTACCTGTCTTGCCTACTGGTGGTGGTCAGAGGGCCCAGTGATACCAGTGCAAGGCAGCCGCCTTGCCTTGTTTAGTGTTAAAATCTTTGTGCTCACTGAATTTAAGAGGTTATTCATTTATGCACATCATTCTTTAAACAAATTAAACATGTCATAGGTTTTACTAACCCACTAAAGGCCTTGAAAATTCACTGAGACGATGCGCTCAACTAGATATGACCAAAGATGTAGAGTTTTGTCTTCTTCACCAGAAATTTCACGGTCAGATTTTAGAGACTATAGAGGTTATGTCATCACAGACCTCCCACTCTGACAGTTTATGGGACTGTATGAGCAGCTTGAAAATGTAGGAAACTGAAATAAAAAGGGGAAATGCAGCTGTCTACATGAAACCAACTTGAAAATGTGTATTCTGAAAACAAAATCTCAGGTATTACCTCAAAGTATTTTTACGAAACAGTTAATCTCCATAGTATCATGAGATGCACAATGGATTGTAATTTCATCTGTGCACCAAATGCCTGCAAGACAAAAACTTGAAACCAAAACGGTCAGTCAAGTTCTTCTTGTCTTCAATGTTCCTGGCAAATTTGGATTTTGTGTCTAACCAAATTGTAACTGCCTTAAGGTGTTGCTTTGTGAATTGTTCCTGTGTAGAAACGGGTTCATATGAATAATAGGAAGTAACAGTTTCTGTTTTTAATGTATGTAACCCTCTTATGTGTTCAGTAGTTATCCAGTTATTTATGATGACCTCTTGTTTGTCCTCCAACCCTGTGACTAGCAGTAGGAGCCATGTTAATTGTTTCCAGGTGGCTCTGTGTAGAACAGTGATGACCATGGATTTCCCTAAGACTGAGACTGAAGTGAATGCTAAAAGTGCCACAGCTGTGTTCAGCATTTTTATTTAAATTTATTTTAGAATATTTTTCATTAGACAGTAGGGCTGGGCTAATTGATGGCAATTATTGATCGAGAAAAAATTCAGGTCGATCACGGTGATCAGCTATGAGCCTCTTACTTGATCAAACATGGCGGAAATGTGCGCAACAACAGCCAATCCACCTCCTGCTCCTCTTTCGTTTAAGTTGCTAAGGAAATGCAGACAGAATCGCAGAACTGACCAAAGTAATCCAGTATAAAACGCTGAATCTCACAGAATTCGCTTTTTGGCCGCTGTCACTTCCTGTACCTGCTGTTACCTGCTAACAGGCATGTGAGGTGTCCCCCCTCCGGACACACAGAGAGGGAGAGGGGGAAAAAGTAAAAGTGAGCCGCGATGCGCAGCTCGCTAAAACAAAAGCGTCCTCCAAAAATATGAAGTAGCATTTAGGACAGAACAATGTCCCAGCGGTTCTTCATTTATCTGGAGAAGAACGTTTCTGTAAGTTTTATCGGCACACCATCGATGGGCTGGATGCAACGTGAAGACCACTTCCTGTCTGAGTCACATCAAACAGGAGCTGAGAGACGCTGCAAACTCCTGAATGCTCAGAAGCTGGGAGTTTTTGTCGTGTGTGCAGAATCAGATATTCTTTCAGAAAAAATTAAACAGCGTTGTCCTTTGTTTCAAAAAGCTCTGTAAACAGGAGGGGGTGGGGGTTCCTTCCATAACAAAAGTAAATGAGCTTAGATCATATTCAAAGTGTGTACAAATTGTTGCTGTTTGTAGGGTTTATATTTCTTTATGACATATTTAATGGGAAATTCAATTCTAAAACTTTGATTTTTACAAAATCGTGACCTTTTTTTTGCCATATCGCCCAGCCCTATTAGACAGCCAAGGTGCAATAATTCAGTTCTTAACAATTTAATCTACCTAAAACAATAGTCCACAGACAGAGATCAGCTTTGCTTTATTATTTCACCTAACATAGTGATTTCTTCCAGTGACAATGAAGAGGACCGGGATCGTTCGTCTTACAATGGTCGGACAAAGAAAGAGTTCAAGGATGACGAGGAGACTGTTACAACCAAGAGCATACAGATTGTCCAAGCAACAGAAACAACAGCATCAAGAAAAAAAGGAATGCCGTCCAAAAAAGTGGACCTGGGAGCTGCAGCTAACTACACAGGAGACAAGAGCCCAGACACCACAGTCAGACAGGTAGCAAATGCTCATTTAATCTTATAAAATCATGATTTATTATTCTGGTCCTCTGTTTGCACTCATTTGTGATTTATTATCTTTTTTTCATCCAGACCCAGCCTGCAGCTGCTCCCCAACCTGCCAGCACAGGCCTAGCTGACCTATTAATGGTGGACACAACACCTACCCAGCCTGCTGCCACAGGTAAAATGTAACTAATAACAAGACTGAGGCATCTTGTCTGTCATCGTCTGCTGCGTTTCTGTGCTTTCAGTAGACAAATTAGTCGAAACTGAAAAAGACGAAGTAAAGAAAAATATTTTTTTAAATCTGCCCGACATACAGTATAAGGTCACCTGCCTGAAACAAAAATGTTCAAAATTTGATAAAACACAAGAAAAATGTGTACTACACAAATATTACAGGGTTTCTACAGCTTAAGGCTAATTTAATTTAAGATCTCTTTAATGCCACTTGAAATTAAACTTAACACCAACTTCACAAAGGGGCAAATCATAATCATCCTACTTACAATATGTTAATATTTTTAAGACCTCTGAAAGATTTGAAAGTATGTGTCGAACCCTGCAAAGAAACCACAACTAGTTGAAAATCTTAGGGAATCCTTTATTCAGAAAGAAAATCTAACTACAGACTCTTGACTCTGTTTGAAGTGATGCTGTTCAGCTGCTGATACCAGCCTCAGATTTTGGGGAAAGCAGGGGGAGGGAGTTGATGTATAGGAACTAACTCCACCAGATGTTTTTTGGAGGAGTCCCTTGTGAATGGAGAGGGTTAGCGCACTGAACAGATGTTTGGCTTCTTCCACCTTGCCGCTGCCACCACCTCTCCTCTCCCTCCTCTAACACTCCYGGAATGCTAACTATTCAAGAACCACACCTGGAATCTACCTGTTTAAAGCCGACTTGTTTTTGTTTGTTTCTCAATGCAGACTTCAGTGGATTTGCTGACTTCTCACCTGCTGCCTCAGCTGGACTGTCCTCAGGACCTGGTATGTTTCAGGAGGGTTTTTGTTAGTGTGTCTGGATACGCTGCCCTGTTGCAGTTGTACTGCTAGAATATTCAAAGGAATGTTGGGGGGGGGGGGGGGTGCCTGGCCATATGGAGCCTGCTACCTGCTCTGCATAATAAGAACAGACACACATCAACTCCTGTTATGRATGACAAGGAGACGGGGACAGGAGAAGCTGTTGGCGGGGGTGGAAGGAGAAAGCAGGCCGGGCCGGTTCAATAAAAATTTAAAGCGTGGCACTAGTGGTCACTGAAAATTCCTGGACGAAGCTAAACTCTGCTCACAAAATTTGGATTTTATTTTCACAAGTGCTTGTATAGATTCTGTATTTTGAATTTTAGAATTRCTTGTTGAGCTCCTACAAAAACAATAAAAATAGACCTGGATGGCAAGGATAGGTAATTGTTTGTTTCATTGTTTTTCTACAATGTAGCCCCAGCTATGACCTCGAGCACCAATGGAGACTTTGGTGAATGGAATGCCTTTCCTGGAGGTCAAATTCCAGCAGCTGTTCAGAGTGCTGACACAAGTGGAAATGACTTTTTTGGAGCCATGACAGCAGGTTCTCCCACTGCCCCGGCTCCAGCTCCAGCCTCTGGTCCCGCTTCAGCAGACCTGTTTGACTTGATGGCGCCAACTCAATCCATCACCTCCTCCCAGAGCCTCAATTTCAGCATGAACAGCACACAGAGCCTGAGCACCACAGTCCTTCCCCAGTCCATGTCACAGGTACGCTTGGCTGCTCTCAAACACACGAGCATTCTTTATTCATAATTAATTTAGAGAATATCAACGTTAAACTCATGTGTCTGGCATAAATGGAATACAGGTGGAAGCAAAATATCTGCAGATCATACTGCCATGTTGTCTTGTGTTCCTTCAGAGATTGTTTTTATGTTTCTGGGGGGTGCATCCTAAAATAGAGTTAACAATTTATGCAAAATCCTTCATTTAGCACGCTTTTATGCTTGTTGGCCACTTGAAGCATGTACTGTATATACTGCATCTCTTATACACCCATTCTCACACACCAGTCTTTAAATTTCTGTAAACACTGGTTCAGTGTCTTGCCAAAGTACTTCAGTATGTGTATAAGCTGGCRTTGAACTGCCAACCTGCTCTTCTTGAAGCTTTTATATGTTAACATTAGAAAACTGTTTCTTCAATCGGTAAGGTTTCGGTTATGTTATTTATTGACAAATRCAGATTGAAGAGTTTAAACATTTAATAGGAAGTAATACATATACCTGTGGATAGAAAAAAAACTAATAGTTAAGCTTCATTTTCTTGTCTTTAATTTAAGTGAACATAAAAGCARCTGATTAAAAAAACGTCAAGTGGCACAATATTGTGACGCTCCTACATTAGCAGTAAATATGGTGCAATTAGATTTTTTTTGTTTTGGACAGATGATGAGCATAGTGAGCATCCTGTTTGAAACAACAAGAAGCTGTCGATCTGTCACATGTTTGTGAAAATCTTTTYTAACAAGGAGATTCATGAGATCCTCAATAAAAACACTGATATCTGACTGTAATGGGTAACAAAACTTCTCAGTAGTTAAACTTTAGGGATTCAAGTTATCAACGGAGTTAAAGTCGATTGATTTTATTGATTGACGAACGATTAATTGATGAGCAGTAATTTTATTAAAAACCTGAGTTTTCTTTTGTGTTAAACTTGTACATGTTTATAAAATRTGACAAAATGCAAATTTTTTAGGTTGCTGAAAGCGGGAGAAAAAGGATGAAAAGAATAAAATATGTGAAACAATCACCATGAACAGCGAAATGTAAAACTATTATGAATTTATTATTTATTTTCTTCTTCCTGTTTATATTTGGTCAGAAAAAGACATCCAAAAATGACGCCATCACCAACCCGCTGTCTCAGCTCGTGTTGAAGTATAAGCCAAGCTTTAGTAATGATCATGAACACTAAWAACATCTTTAAGTTGGGAAACTGCAATGCTTCCAGTTAGATCTTTGCAAGTTGCTATGGTTRGAGTGTCCTTGAATACTTGTACCTCCCTCAATATTTAGTTTCTGTCAGATTTCTTGTAACTGGGTGAAGGTGTTTGTTAATGTAGCAACTTTGTTTTAAAATTACTTAACTTATAATRGTCAGAATGGCTGAACCCCAAGGCAAACCATGCTGTTAGTAGCAGGTAATTAATGTAGTCTGGTAACGTAAGAAAAATATACCAGCGTGTCTTCAAACAGATAATTATTTATTAATTATAACAAAGATCAAAGCTCCTTTTTTTTTTTGCTCTAACTTTAGCTTAATTTTGTTCCCTGTTAAATTCTATGACTGACAAGTAATAATGTTCAAAACCCTACTGCATCTTGACTTTGTTTAAATTCTTTTAGCACTTAATATAAACACAAAAAGTGAACTTGCCGCTTGATGATTGTTAAATGTGAAATGGGAAAAATTCCTCCACTCCAGTCTACGCTCCTTAGCCAGAAAGCTTGTGCGACAGAGACTTACGCTGTGAGTGAGAGACAGAGGGCCAAAATGATTGTGGCACATTAACGTTCAGCTTCACCAGATGCAAACCTCCCCCAGAGACCACCCACTCCTCCTGTTACTGACACAAAATGAAAAGAATGGGATGTGACTTTCAAGAACACAACAAACTCAACAAAAGCTTGCACATGTAGACTGGGGTTTTATGTAAAAGGGTTCTTGACCTACTTTAAAAGAGAACTTGTTCTTTGTTTTGCTTAATGACACCAACTCTGGTTTATCCAGTTGCTTTAGCAGATTTCTTCGACAGACTCGAAGGGTTAAGTTGGTCACAGTTGAGGTTAGAGGCCAAAAATACAGTTTTTCATCTAGACTTTTCAGTGTTGGAACTGTATACGTCTGTGGGGTTCTCTGGTATGAATGAGCTCTTTCTTTATTGTTGCATCAGTGCTTACATTCTTCTGTGTTTTCACCATAAAGAACATGGGGGGTCCTCTACAACCACAACTGGTGCAGCATGGAGGGCCCGCTCAAAGTGCAGGAGCCAAAGCATCTCTYCCGTCCACCTGGTCGGACCACTCTGTTAACATCAGCTTGGACTTTCTGGGCCCAGGCCAGATGCCTCCTAAGCCTAACCAGCCTAGTCTCAACACCCTCCAGCAAGGTGAGCTTAAGCAGTGACAAATTGTAGTATGTGGTTTTTTTTCTGTTTTTCTTTTTTACTCTCTAAAACAGGCATGGGCAATCCTGGTCCTGGGGGTCCGCAGCCCTGCATATTTTACTTGTTTCTCTGCTCCAACACACCTGATATGAATGACTAGATGATTATCAGGCTTCTGCAGTAYGGAGGACCAAAACTGACATAATTAGAAATAAAAGCAGAAATATATGAACCACTAAATAAATAGCCTTAATGCACCAATTAAATTAAAAAAGGAGAACTTTATCTCCTGTTTTATATTTTAATTGAATTTCATATTTATTTTTCCAGGTTAGTTCCAATAAATTAGTCTACACATTTGAACACACAGTTTAAATTTGTTTAAATATATATTACGGTAGTTGTTTTTCCTTTTACTTGTACATGCATTTGTGTGTCTTAAATGTTTATACTTAATTATTTTTATATATTTTTTTCCAACAAGTCTTT